CAAAGTGCAGAGGGAGGTTGGCGGCGGCGACGGCACTGCGTGTGGGCGTGTGCCTTTGGTGTTCACGCTGCTTCTGCTTGGGCTGTGGGCGATGCCTCTTCTCTGAGCCGGGGAACACGGCAGCGAGGGACCGCATGTGCGTCCCCCCTCTCCATGTTAATTGCTGATCCGCCGCGGATCGTCTTTGCCTCCCGGTCATGTGCGAGTTCTCCCGTTGGGTTGAACGCCGGGAAAAATTCTCTTCTTTTTTCTTTTCTAAATACTTTGTTTTTCTTTGCTTTGCTTTGCCCACCCTTCCCCACGGAGGGGCGGGCGCCACTCGCGGCTGCCGGCTGCTCCCGCCCGGAGACGCACAGAGCAGACGGTTTTTCGTGCGCCGCGCAGAGGAGGCGGTGGGTGGGCGGGGCGACGGCACGCTGCGGTGCCCCCAATGAAAAAGTGAGCGCTGCGTGGGCATTGAGGGGGTCGTATTGGGGTGGAGCGAACATATATCTTTTGGGCTTTCCTTTTTTTGTTTTTGTTTTAAGGGGGCGGAGATGCACGCGGCGCGGTGTTGGCGTGCGTGGCCAGCCGTATTTGTCTGCCTGCGTCGGTTTCCGTTTTAATTGTTTTTGCTCTTCCGTAAGTCTTCTTTTTTGCTCGCTTTGCTTCTGCACGGCGATTGTGCGACTCACCGCGGGCAGGACCGCGGCGCCGTGCCTGGTGTGGCTGCCGTGCTGCTTCCCTCCTGCCTCCTTCGCTGCGTGCGGGCGTGGCTGGTGATGTGCTTCTCTCTTTTCTTTCCCTTTTCTTTTCTCTGTGCGTGTGCCTTTGGGTGGCGTCTGCTGCGGGCATGCCGTGCGCCCCGGCGTGCTCGCCTTCTTTTTAGCGACTGCGGCGGCGTGGTGTTGGGGGCGGGCGGGGGCCTCTTTTTTATGTGGCTGCGCTCGCCGTGGGGATGTTTTGCGTTGCCCCAGCCGCGCGGGGAGGGGCTTGCCGATTCCCCCGCGTGTTTGTTTGGGTGTCTGCAGCGGCACCGGGGGGTAAAATGCGGAGCCCCAACCGCTGCTGCCCTGCCGCGCGTTGCTGCGGAGCGAACTCGTGTGGCGCGGCGCACTGGCGGGTTGACGGTTGGGCCGACTGCGGGGACCGTGGAGGCTGCGGCAGCCCGTGCCCGGGCTCTGCTGATTTGTTGTTGTTGTGGTGCTCGGCGGCGGATGCATGCGGGCCGCTCGGGGCACGTGTTTGTTTTGTTTTTTGCCCTGCGCATTTGTTTGTTGCGGTGCTCGCCACGCGGCGGCGATGCTGGCGCCCCGCACGAGGAGGAGCTCGCAGCCGCCGCCCCGCAGGAAAAGACGCGGGCCGCGGCAGGCCCCGCCGGTCAGACGCGCGGCTTCCCCGCGGGCACCGTCACCCGCACCTTCGCGTGGCTGACCGCACCCTCACGGCGCTGCTCAACCGTCGCTGTGGGCTTCTCGTGCGGGCGCCGGACTGTCGCCTCTACCGTCCCCCGCTTGCGTGTCCTGCGCTGCCCCCACTGCCGCGCCCGAACCCATCGCCGCCGTCGTTGCTTTGCTTCTCTCCACACTTATCTTCGCACACACGCACGCAACCGACGCGCACGCGATGCGCCTGTGGTGCAGTGCAGGTGGATGGCCTTTTCGCAGCCTGCGCTGGCAGTGCCGTGTGCGGCTGCTGCTGCGGTTTCCTCGCGGGCCGTGAAGAGAAGGGAATGGAATGGAAGGAAAACCGCACAGCACGTGGGGGAGTGCGCTGTGACTAACTCGTTTTCCTTGCGGGAGCCGCCTCATTTGGGTGGTGGCGGCGGGCCCACTTCCCGTGTGCGTGTGCGTGTGGGGGCGGCTGCTCTTCGCTGCTCCGTCGTGGGTGGCTGCCGGCGCTGTGTGGTGAGTGCGGCGGTGGGGCCGCAGACGGCGGTGTGGGAGTGACGGCGCGGGAGGTCGTGGCTCGCTGCGGAGCCGTGTTGCTTTGCGGTTGGGACCGTTGAGCCCCAGTGCAAGCGAAGGCGTCGCGGAGATGTTGCGCTTCGCCGAGCGACTGCCTGTCTTTTGAAGCGCGCCCGTCACGCGCCGCCGACTCTCGCGGCTTGGCGCGGCCGCAGTGCCCGTGGGCGCCTCAACCACGCGGGGGGGGGGGGGGGCACCGCCCTGCAGTCCCTCTCCGCCTGCGAAGTTCCGCCCATCATTGTTTTTTATTCGTACCTGTTTCCGGCTCGTTTTTGCAGCACGGGGCACCTTCCATTGCCTTTGCCATGCAGTGTGTCGCCTTCTCGCTCTCTACCCACTTGTTTTTTTTCTTTGGCCGGTTGCTGCCGCTCCCAAGCACACTATAAACCGCTGCACGGCTGAAGAAGGAACCGTTAGGCTCCCAGCGATGAGGCTTTGGCAGAGTCAGACGAGGGCGGTGGAGCGCCTCAAGGCCGCCGGGTTGCCCGCCGTGGATGAGATGCGGCGCTTCCGCCTGCTTGTGTGCTGTCTGTTCTGCAGCATTTGCACCTCCCTTGTCTACGCCTTTGACCTCTTCACGACGCAGTTCGTGGAGCGCTTTCATCTCAGCGTCGGCGACCAGTCCACGATCAGCACAGTGGGGCTGGTGTTCTGCTACTTCACGCTGCCATACGGCTTCCTGTACGACTACGCCGGCCCTTTTCCCCTGATACTCATCTGCGTCGTCACAGGCGGGCTCGGGTCGCTGCTGCTTGGACTGACGTTCGACGGGTTCATCCCGGGAAACGTGACCAACTTCTCTGTGTTCTACGCCATGATGAACACCTGCGCCGGCCTCATTGAAACCTCCTACATTTTGACCCTGGTAGAGGCCTTCCCGCGCAACCTCGGCCCCGTCATTGCACTTGCGAAGGTGCTGACCGGGCTTGGCTCCTCCGTGCTTGCCTCCGTGAGCGTGAACCTCTTCGGCGACAACATCTCCGGCTTCATTTACGCCATCATGGCGTACTCCGTCGTGGTGTGCGGCGTGGCGGCCTTCGTGGTGGTCCTGCCGCCGTACTTCGTCAACGGGTGGCGGCGCCGCGGAAAGAGCGAGGAGCAGCTCGCCGCCATGAGGGCCCTGGCGCCCGCGTACCGCCGCAAGTTCGTCCCGGTGCGTCGCCTGGGCGTCGGCTACGTCGTTGTGGCCCTGCTGCTGGTCTTCTTCACCGTGCAGGCCCCCGTGGTGAGCTACACGAAGGTGTCGAGCGGGGCTTCCATCGCCCTCGGCGTCATCACGATTGCGCTCGTGCTGTGCTTCTTCCTGATGCTGCTGCCTGTGCGGTGGCTGGGCGGCATGGACGGCGACGCTGAGGAGGAGCCCGGGCGGGCCAATGCTGCGGAGGAGGAGTCGTTGCCTGTCCGGGACAATAAGGCGGGCCCCGACCCTGCAGACACCGAGCTGCTAGATATCCCGAAAAATTGGCCGGACAATGGGCCGGACGAGGCCGCAAATGTGTCTGACGTCGACTCAGGGGTCCCGCAGGCTCCCCGCTACGGCGGCTCCGTGTGGGACAACCTGAAGCGGG